TATGTGTAATCCATAGCGGAATAAAAGACTGATAAGCAAATTGAGGCTGGCTATTGATTGCTTAATCTGAGCAAAAAGCAAAACAAACATGTTAGACGGCAAATGCAACAACTAAGAACCAAGGAATATCAATACCTTGTTGTAACTGATGGTATCACACAAAGTTACAGTGGTAACATTTTAAATCAGCTTTTTCGAATTTTAATGTACGCAGTGTAGTTAGTTTGATTAACAGTGGCATAAGGCATTTAGCTTCAAGATAATTCCAGTCGAATAAAATCAGAAAACGATTTCTCTTTTATTACACACCGTTGTGTGGTGAGTCAAGTTAAACTACTTCTGATGAGCGCGTGGTGATTGATCATGGATTTTGTTCATACAATCATTAAGCATTCATTTTAATGCACCTGTTTTGATTGCTGCCAATCTAGGGAAAGAAGTGGAGGGAAGAAGGAAAACGATGAAAGCGGTACCGGGGAAAAAATGAAGAACGTAGTCGAACTAAAAATCGCTGTGCTTCCAAGCCTCTATAATTTTACTCTTCAAAATCAGGATTCAAAAATTGATTCTCACTTGAATGTTCCCCGCACGTATCTTCCCCCTTACAGTATGCCATTGACTAGGTGGTGGCCATACTGTTTTCGCCGTTCGCCCTTAGGTTTGAGTATGGGGAATTCCCGTTTTCCGGTTTCAATGCTAAATGAATCTACAATGGATAACAGTAGTAGGAAATTTTAGTCATGTTCACAATTACTGCACAGAGTGTAGGCCGGTTCGTTGTCTCAAAGAAACCCATTTTACATCAGTAATTGAAAATTTAGTAAATCTTTTTCCGACAGATCTGTGTATTTTTCTTTTCAAATGCGCACAATCAGTATAATCTGTCACCATTGTCTACCGAGGTGATTATTGGTATCCCTTTTGAATCCGCTCAGTGTTACATCTATCATGGTGCGGCCTAGTGCGGTTCGCTAGAACTTACTGTACCAATTTAAATCACTCATTAGTAGGTCCGTATACCCATAACGTTCATTCCCTGCCCTGTTTATCGCACCAGAAGTGTGCAACAAGAGAATGCGTTGACCTACAGATGAATCAACGCATTTTATTATCTATTGTATTTCGGCTGCGATCAGCTGAATTCGCTTAGTGTTTTGCACTATGTTGTGATGGTGAGAATGGTTTGCTAACTTATTCGTCCTAGCCACACAGACTTACTGTGTCATCATCATCATCATCATTGTACAGCGTAATACAGTGAAGCGAACTTCACTAATTGCTGCCAAACTCATAATGCATACAAGCTAAGTGAGAATGTGTAAGGATGATGGGGATTGGGCCTACTGTGTGATTGTCATAAATGCTGACCGGTTAAACCTCACTTGCACATGAACTAATTATGCAAGGCATGGCTTGGCCTTACAATGATTAAATGTTGTACCACCACCTGAGTGTCATCTCTATTCTCCGTAGATTGTGTGCTGAACCTACTAAGTTCCCAGCGTTTAAAGTGGTGTTCGGATAAATTACATTGTTTTATTCATTCACCGGTGCTAGCCATCTACGGTAGAATCCGCCTGCTGGTTGAAAGCATTTTTCTGTTCAACTCATCTCGACAGATTTTATGTAACGAAATTTCAATCTTTTATTTTGTCAGACTGCAAAAGACTCGGAAGCCATTGAAACGAACACTAGCAGCGCGCAGAAAGGCAATCATTTGGACACTCATCAGAACGGTAATTAATGTACCTTTCTGTTTTTTCCAATCCTGAATAACCACAAGTGTTAAATTTCCGCTACCTCTTGTCATATAGCGAATCGCAATCCTTTTGGTATTTTACGCTTGTTTACTTTTATCGAATAGACTATCGTATAATCAGTTTTTTCAGAAGTGAGAAGCGACCAGTCAGATGGCCGTCCGATGGTGGGCGGTAGAGGTTAGATTCAAACACACGATCT